CCTGTTGTGATTTTTATTATTTATTACATCTACTTACTACATAAACAGCAGCAAGTAGTAAATAGATGTAATAGTCTTCAATTGTCTGAATTACTTTGGTAGATCTTTGTCAGTATTATTGATGTGAACCCTTATTTCTTTCGTTTTATTTTGTTGCTTGATTACACCTAGTATAAGTAGATGTAATAGTCTTCAGTTTTCTGAATTTCTTAGATGGCGTATTATCATTATTATTAATTTTTGACTTGTAGACATTGTAATAATAATAATGATGTTACAGCTCCGACCTTACGAAGGGCTTTATCTATGTAAAATAAGCTTCTTTTTTTTTTCTTTTTTTTTTTTGTTTTGTTTATGATGCCATTTCTGATCTTAGATCTCTGGACGGAATCCATTTTCCATCGTCTTTTAAGGCACTACCTGCATCTACACATCTCCTTTACTTTGAGGTCCCGCATATGTAAGTCAAAACTGGACTTTTTTCCCCTTTTGCTTGCCGTCTGGAATTATGTCTTCTAACAGTAAAAATGTTTAGTCGTTTCTTTTTTCTTTCGTCAACTACTTTGTCTAAGAGTTCGTTTTTTATCTATTGAATCTCTCCTCAAAGACAAATCTACTTTTATCCGCCATCTGTCAAGACAGCTCGTTACTGGTACGTCACACTGCATGACAAAAAATAGTAAATTAAAACTTACACATAGTCATTTATTATGCAGTCATTTATTATAAATTTATTAGTATAGCGTCATTTTTATTATACACTCATTTATGATGAAGTCACTTATTATACAGTCATTCGTTATTATACAGTCATTTATTATTAGTCAGTCATTTATTACAGTTAGTTATTATATACTCATGTCTTAATATGCAGTCATTTATTATTATGCAGTCATTTATTATAAATTTATTATTATAGAGTCATTTTTTATTATACAGTCATTTATTATGCAGTCATTTATTATACAGGCATTTATTATTATTATTCAGTCATTTATTACAGTTATTTATTATACACATGTATTATTATACAGTCATTTATTATGCAGTCATTTATTACACACTATTATTATAGAGTTATTTTTATTATACAATCATTTATTATACAGTCATTTATTATTATACAGTCATTTATTATTATTATTCAGTCATTTGTTACAATTATTTATTATATACTCATTTATTATTATACTGTCATTTATTATGCAGTCATTATTATACAGTCATTTATTATACAGCCATTTACTATTATACAGTCATTTATTATGCTGTCTTTTATTATTATACCGTCATTGATTATGCAGTCATTTATTATTATACAGTCATTTATTATACAGAATTTAAACTTACTTACGATTGAAATAGTTATTTTTATTCTACTAAATCTTACTCGAGTGCCACTCAATGTAGAGGCTTAGTCGAAATGTTAATGATGAGTGAGGTGTGTTTTGTAGAAAATGAGGGTAAGAGAGATATATAACGATTGGGGGTTGACTTGAAGGGGTTAAGATTAGGATTAAAGTATTATGGGAAGTAACTCCGTTGGAGTCTGTCAGAGAAAGGGTCAGTTCTTGAGAAAAACAGGTCAGAATGTAAATTCTTTTTTGCATTTGAAACACGGGGGAAATGGGGATGTTTCGACACCGTCGAAGTAACACAGAATGTCCTAGCAGTAAATGTCTGAATTGGTAAAAACTAAAGAGTAGAGCTCCTCAGAGCCGTCCTGGGTAAAACGATAAATTACATCCGGCAACAAGGCCTCTTATCGGGAGGTTTTGAAGAGCGTGGAATCACCTCTTAATTGCTGTTGTCTTCAGGTCCACCCTGACGCGGGGTGGTGCCACCTGTTAGGGTCCCAGCTATGGGCAAATAGTTAGCCCCCAAACCTGGGTCAAGACACTATGAAAGTATAAAAATAGATTGTTATAGTAAAAATACCAGCTATAAATTTTTGAAAAATAATCAACAGCAATACATATTCTATTCATACGAATCTATCCTAAAAATCTTGACGGCATTAAATAACCCATTGAGTTGTTGATATGCCGCAAGACAAAATAAACCAACCCATACTAGAACAATTGCTATGGAAATTGTGATATAATAGCAACGAGCTGGATGAGAGGTATTGGATATCAGAAGCAAAAAGGAAATGTTCTTTGCTATCGCCATAGTGCATTTATTGAGTGTTGATTTTGCTTTTGAACTCAAAGAAACCTGATAATGATAATGAACTCTTGGCAACATGTTCTAACTGGTTAAATATTTCATCTTCATCTACACATGTCAAATCATTTATTTCAGAATTAAATACCTTTCATTGTCCTAGGTAAGATGTTAAACTACATCCGTGTCCTGGGTAAGATGATAAACTACATCCAGCAGCAAGGCCTGGGATCAGGAGGTTTTGAGGAGTGTGGAACCACCTCTTAATTGCTGATCCAGGGTGGTAGCACCTGTTAGGGTCCCAGCTATGGGCAAATAGTTAACTATTACCAGTAATACTTTTTGAAAAAAATTATTGCCAGTAATACAATTTTGAAGAAAGAATATTGCCTGAAGTGGATTTTTGACAAAGCAAAATATTACCAGAAATAAAAAAAAGTTGTTGGCATTAAAGAGCCCATTGAGGTTGATATGCCATAAAACAAAATAAACCAAACCAATCTAAAGCAAAGAATACATATTCTATTCATACGAATCTATCCTAAAAATCTTGAAGGCATTAAATAACCCATTGAGATTGATATGCCGTAAAACAAAATAAACCAAACCAATCTAAACCAAAGAATACATATTCTATTCATACGAATCTATCCTAAAAATCTTGAAGACATTAAATAACCCATTGAGGTTGATGTGCCGTAAAACAAAATAAACCAAACCAATCTAAAGCAAAGAATACATATTCTATTCATACGAATCAATCTTAAAAATGTTGTCGGCATTAAATAACCCAATGAGGTTGATATGCCGTAAAACAAAATAAAACAAACCAATCTAAATTAAAGAATACATATTCTATTCATACGAATCTATCCTAAAAATCTTGAAGGCATTAAATAACCCATTGAGATTGATATGCCGTAAAACAAAATAAACCAAACCAATCTAAACCAAAGAATACATATTCTATTCATACGAATCTATCCTAAAAATCTTGAAGGCATTAAATAACCCATTGAGATGTTGATACGCCTCAAAACAAAATAAACCAACCCAAACTTGAACATTTGCTATGGAAATCGTGATATAATAGCAACAGACTTACAACAATATGAGAATTTTGAAATTTCTTTGAACACCAGGAATCGAACACTGGCATGTGACAACTGGAAAATAAATACTTTGCAGCGTAATTCAATGTCCTTTCCGTAAATATTTGCCATGGCGCTAGACGCCGTACGTATTAAGTCTAAGCTTTAACGCACATAACAGAAAAATAAAAGTAAAATATCTCTAATTGAATTTATTCACTGGGAGAAATCAGTTTGCTCTTTGACTAAAAGCACCGTGACCTTTCATGCGACTCCATATTGGCATCATTGGGACTATCCCCCATCAATATCTGAACTTATCCATTTCAACTGGAAAAGGAAGAATTTGAACTTATTCTGATTTGACAACTGCTCTTCAATTAATGCGATCTACAGTCGAAGAAAGAGCAATGTTCGTATCAGATTTCCTCTTCACAGCGGCATGTATTCAGGATATTCGAAGCTTTCCTGAGGAGATAATCAATTTTGTCGACTCACAAATTCCTGGACATGCTGAAGTCATTAATGCCACGTCCATTTTGTCGCTAAAGCCAACCAAACTCTGTTGGTAAGGAAAATAATATAGTAAAATTTATCGAACAAAAACTCACACATAGAAACTTACTCTCGCACACATACCGACTCAAACTTACAATGATTGTTAGCTTAAATCATCAGCATGGTTTCTTAAGATTTGTCCGTCTGTTATGTCTCTCGCCCTTCCGAAAACTCGGCGGACTTTTAATGCAAGTTAGTCAAGTCCCAAACAAAAGAAGAGGCAGTTCCCTTAGCCGCCTTCCAATCGAAAATGACGATTGTTTCAACCCCGCCTTTCAAAGCGTAGACTAGCGGACTTCTATCGCTGACGCTCCCCACTGGTGACATTTACAAAACCAGACATTTGCTATTTAAGACTACCGTCGGTGGTCTCCGTCCGCACTGAATGGTCCTTGAGAATTCAGTTGTGTCAAAGAGCCCGGCCGAAATCCAAGTAAATGGAATGAATCTTTGTCTGCTGTTTCTACGACTTTCCAAGGTATTGTCTGACTCACGAGAGTTAGTTGGTTGGGGAACTCTTCATTGGAAAATGGCCCTGCCGAGTTACACGGAACATCTCTTTACATCTGCACTATCATACCTTGCCTGATAATGGCTCGGCTGAAAGATTTGACTGAGAGGGGTCAAAGAAAATTGATGAATTGGTAGTCTCATGTTACCCCCTCCCGTTGGGGAGATACATTAGTCGTTAACCTTACCGGTGAGACATTAATTGTTGTACTTTCTTTCTGCGTACGTGACACTGAAAAGAGACGAATGATTCGGGATTTGAGAAGTCATTTTTGATAACCTTGAGATATTTTTCAAAGGAGAAATCAGGAAAAATTTGCGTAAGAATGAAAACGACAGATTAAAAATGACTCCCAAAGGAAAAAGAAATTATTACAATTGATTCCATAAGGAGATTAGGGGGAAATTGAGATCGATTATTTTTATTAAATAATTTATGAGGTTGTACTGAGAAATGTACTTTGCTACATATAGAGTACCTTACATACCTGCCTACGTATCTATCTATCTATCTATCTATCTATCTATCTATCTCAATCTGTTATCCATCTATCCCAATATCTGTTCATTATCTATCTAACTATCTATCTATCTTAGTCTGTTCATGTCATTCTATCTATCTAGGTAGCTAGATATTGCTATTCTATTCATATCTATATATCTGTATATCTAAATATGTTATCCATCTATTCCAATCTGTTCATTATCTATCTATCTATCTATCTATCTATCTATCTATCTATCTATCTATCTCTGTTCATTACCTATCTATCTATCTATCTATCTATCTATCTATTTTAGTCTGTTCATGTCATTATATCTAGGTAGATAGCTATTGTTTTTCTATTCATATCTATCTATCTATCTATCTATCTATCTATCTATCTATCTGTTTTAATCTGTTCATTGTCTGCCTATCTATCTATCTATCTATCTATCTATCTATCTATCTATCTATCTATCTAAATCTGTTATCCATCTATCCCAATATCTGTTCATTATCTATCTATCAATCTATTTATCTATCTATCTATCCTAATTTGTTCATTATCTATCTATCCATAAATCTATCTATCTATCTATCTATCTATCTATCTATCTATCTATCTATCTATCTATCTGTCTTAGTCTGTTCATGTCATTCTATCTATCTAGGTAGCTAGATATTGCTATTCTATTCATATCTATATATCTGTATATCTAAATATGTTATCCATCTATTCCAATCTGTTCATTATCTATCTATCTATCTACCTATCTATTTCAGTCTGTTCATTATCTATCTATCTATCTATCTATCTATCTATCTATCTATCTATCTATTTTAGTCTGTTCATGTCATTATATCTAGGTAGCTAGCTATTGTTATTCTATTCATATCTATCTATCTATCTATCTATCTATCTATCTATCAATATAACTATTCTAATCTGTTCATTGTCTATCTATCTATCTGTTCTAATCTGTTCATTGTCTGCCTGTCTACTTTTTTTTTAACATACAACGTGTGTTAGCACGTGCGATACCGTCTTTATCAGCCGCCGACCAAGGGTGATATCACGGTTTCGGTGGCTATGGCGGGACCGCCACCCCTGGTGCCACCAGCAGCGTTTGCCACCAGGCAGGGTATGAAGATAAGCTAACTAATTGTTCCTTTAAGTAAAATCTATCTGCAATGAAAGTTTCTTGAACGCGTTTGCTGTTATTGACGCGCTCGGAAAAGTCGTTATAGACGACCACGCAAATATCTCACTTGCGCATGTTAGGTCGTGATGTTGCTCGCCATTTTATTTGCTTGTTTTGATCTCGACCAAATCCATCTTGACGCGTGTTGAACAGTTTTTTTGAAGGCGATGCGAAACGCTTTTCAACCAACGGCCATCTATCTATCTCAATCTGTTCATAATCTATCTATCCTAATCTGTTCATTATCTATCTATCTATCTATCTATCTATCTATCTATCTATCTATCTATCTATCTCTTCATTATCTATCTATCTATCTATCTATCTCATTCTGTTCATGCCATTCTATCTATCTAGTTATGTCTTATTTGACTTAGAGTTCCTTTATATAAAAGAAATTAGGAATGCTTTTCCAAGTGCCCCTGTGATTCTTAATATTCTTTCAAGAAGTTACTCTTCAACTTATAGTAAAAGAAGTTGACAGAATCCATCCTCCATCATTACTATCCCCACATATCTATCTGCGGTAGTGAGGTACAAAAAAAGTTCGATATTCAATATCCCCTGTTGTTTCTATCATCGAATATTGATCACCTGTCAATTAGGTTAAAAATAAGTTGTAATATATATATATATATATAAAAAATAAAATAAGTTGTAATATATATATATATATATATATATATATATATATATATATATATATATATATATATAAAAATCTGTAGAGAAAATGGCGTAATATTTTTCTTAACATTTCAGTTTGCATCGCTAATAATATATTAATACCTGGTTTGACAGTATGGATCTATTATTCGAGAAATCCCCCCACCCAGTGTACCTTGAAGAGAAGAAAAGAGAAAATAAGAATTTTCTGATGAAAATATGTCCTTTATTATTTAACTAGCAGCATGACCCGGCGTTGCCCGGGCTTGATTCAAAAATCGTACCACTCATACAGCAATCGCTATTACTTGACTTAAAATATTTTTGCCCTTCCTTGCCTTTAAAGAAGTGCCCTTTGCCGTACTGATGTTGTTACATGCCTTACTTCTTGCCTATCTCACACTGCGAATTTTTTCGAAGCTCTATACTAAACATTAAATCTGTTACGAAAAAGAACTAAACAAAATGAACACAAAACGATCAGCTTTAAAAAGGACTCGTAACTGGAAAACCGAATGAAAAAGAATGTTAACAACAAATACTTTTTTTCACACCCAACCCAGTTCTGCGGAATCAGAATCAACGTTGAGTTTAAGCAAGCGAATGAGCCAATTGGAGTAAAGTGCCATGCAGATTTAAATTTTTCCCACTTGTGATGAATGCAGCTATCGATTTTTTTTGCATGGTAGCATGCTAGTTAACATTCGTGTCAGTCAGCTGTTGGCTCTCACGCTGGCCTATAGAATCTTCCTGCCAGCCGGCTATAGTCTCTCACTTTGGCCAGTACAAAATGGCCGCAAACTACATGAAAACTGCCGTAGAAGCATGAAAAAATCGATTATTTCCACTATCGATGGGAGTTGGGAAACGCAACGTCGGTGTTGGCCTTCCCACTAACTTGGAGCATGTGCATGTAAATTTTGGTGCAAATCCGTCGAAAATTGCGGTCGTGCATTCGTTACACACACACAGACACACATCCTGCCTTTCATAGATAGAGATTGTTGGGGTTGAATTTTATACAGAATTTCGTCCAAAACAAGACTTGAGAGCGACTCAAGGCAGAGCGTTGTAGTCAAAATGGTAATGTTAAACGATTGTGTGATATGGGGTTTGTCTACATAAGATCATTTGCCACGGATAGAGAATTGGTCATGAAGAGGTTTATCTTGCCATCGTTTCTCCATTTGGTCAATTGTATTTTCTTTTTTAAGTTCTTTGCCATTGCAATTGGTGTATTGTGGTTTATTTGCACTTCTTTACCCACTTGAAATCCCCTTATGAATTTGTTGGCTTCCTCTCTTACTGAATAAAGTTTCTTATTTATGTCATTTTCTTTAATGCAGATCATCATCTAGTCTTCTGTTGTTTCTAGGTATCTTTGACCGATTGTTGTAGTTTTGTAAGACAGTTCTAGTTGAACTAATTATCTGCCTCACACAGTGGACAAATTATATTTATGTACAGAAAACCTGAAAATGATCCAAAATATAGAAATAATAACTAAAAAATCATTGAAAAAGAACTTTCGTTTATCATTACGGTTGAGTAATGGATAGCGGCTTGGATTGAGGAATCAGAGAGCCGAGTTCGAATTCCACTCGAATCCATTACATTCACTCACGTGCTAATACCCTTGGGAAAGGTGTGAATCCTCTTCTCACCCAAGTTATGGGTAAAATAACAGGGTTTTATAGACTTGGACTGCAACTGGTCTAGGAGAGGACAACTCTGAATTCAGAATCTTGTGGCATGCGGCGCACGTGGGATCTGTATTTGACTCTTTAAAAGGTGTGGTTGGTTCTGCACAAATCCTTCACCGCTAAAATCAAATCATATGTACAGATTGTCTGGCTGTCGGTTCCTAGGAATTGAGTGCCTGACCCTCATACGTCGTAAAAGGGGCCCTCGGTAGGCGCGAGTTAATAGCCTGCGTCGATAAACGACAGGAGAGTCCACAATATATATATATATATATATATATATATATATATATATATATATATATATATATATGCAAGCTTCATTAAATATGATTAAGTATTTTATATAATTTCTCATATGATTTTATAATTTTTCTTTTCAGTAGATAAATTATACAAAAATTATGCAATTTTTTTTTGGTCCGAGCACTTTCGGCTATATATTTAGCCATTTTCCAGGATGGAATATATTAACTGTTAAATGGAAATAGATTGTTATATCTTTAACATAACCCCATAGAAAGAAGTCCAGGGGAGTGATATCTTGTGAACGAGGTGGCCAGGGAATTAGGCCATCTCTTCCAATCCACCGGTCTGGAAATGTTAGCGGTTCGTTAAACAATACCACTTTCATCAACAAAATACCTGAAAGACACAAATGCAATGGGATTAAAAACTTTCATAACTACTGAGTACACCCTTATGTAAATTAATTGAAGCAAAATGAATAATTCTGTTATTATTTACTTAGTATTTTTCCAATGAAACATGACCCAGAGTACATGTTAGTATTTCGTATGTCCATCCTTGAAGTCATTCCTTGCAGACTGACCACAGATTCTCGATTGGATTTAAATCAGGAAAGTATCCGGGCCAGTCGATAGTACTTTGATCTTCTCACTGGTAAGGCTTGACAGTGTGTTCATGCAGCGTTACAGTTTTCGTAAGTTTCCTTGGAGTAAAGTCCATCGCAGACAATGGCCGTAGGACAACTAATCGACAGACGAGAATAGTGTCTGGGCGGGATAGAAATCTGATGAAATCGGGCATGACGCAATATTTTTCAAGGCCAAACAAATTTCATCATACACTCCGGAAATAGATTCATAGTACTGCACAGAACCTGCAAATAACTTAATCTGCGGAAAAATAGCAATCGATTACACCTTGTCACTCCAGTGGGTCTAAAACTGACCCTATGGTGAAAGAAAAGAAACCAAAGCGGTTGTTTCAATTAATTTGCACAAGGGTGTACATAGAACAAATCTGATTAAGATATCTCATCAATTGCCTTTGGAATATTTATTTTTAAATTGTAAAGAAACTTTATGGACGCCCCGTATGTTATGGGCGCCCCGTATGTCATGCAAGGGTCAAGTTCTCCGAATGTTTTTCCTTATGATCTCTCCTGGAACTTCCACCTCTCTCTTGCTGAGTCTATGTATTTTCTTTTTATTTCCATTCTCCGTAAAACTTCCTCGTTGCTCATATGTTCCATCCATGGTATTCTCAATAATTATAAATAAACTGAGCGTGTTTTAAAAATCATTGAACACAAGAAGTTCAACTTACCCGTAACTTTAAAATTATCTACTGCATCACGAAACAAAAGTAGTTGCCCGGGCAACCATTGACCTTTGTTCATCAAAGTGCTAATTAAGTAATCAGCGTGGAGAGAGAGGGGGGCAGAGTGGGAGAGAGGGGAAAATAGTGGAGAGAGAGAGAGAGGAGATCAGAAAAGAGAGAGTCAGTCTGATGACATTCGAGCTTTCACAGACTATATCCCCTGAGCAACGACAGAGCCTAGCACAGCTATCAAAAGGCCAGATAACGGGATGTGCATAGGATGGAGCGCCCCGAGTGGAGGAAGACTATTAGGAAAAAGAATGGTGGCAGAGAGGACTAGTGAAGGGTTATTGGCCCTCGGAGAATATAACGAGATGTGTTGGACAACGCATTGGCCATCGGGGGAAGATCGCACGAGTTATTAGTATTATTTTTGTCGACTACCGAGCAAATGTCGAATTTGATTAGCAGTGATTAAATCTAATTAGCCGGGGAAATTTTTAATGAGGTCAGACGTCGGCGGAATCGTCATTGGTGGAGATATCAGAGCAAATTTTGCCGATTGGAAAATAAAATCATAAAGACAGGAGGAACAAGAAAGATTATCCGAGTTGTGTAGTTAATCATTAGAATTCCTATACTTGTCTAAAACTATGCATGTAATAGCACTGTCCTGTCAGTAACACTTGCATTAATTCCTGACCACTGGCAATCCCTTTCCTCCCGATCTTTCAATTACTTTTTTATAACAGAATCATTACCAATACATTTCCATTATACATATAATAGCCTTATTCTGTCACTGATGTTAGCATTAATTCCTGACCACTGACAATCCCTTTCTTTCGGATTTTCAATGCTTATTATAATACAACTATTACCAATGCATTTCCATATAACAGCCTTATTCTAGCAGTAATGCTTGGATTAATTCCTAACCATTGACAATCCTTTTCTTCTTGATTTTCTGTGCATTTTATATTAAATCCTTAGCAATGCATTTATCTTATATATAATAGCTCAATTTTATCAGTAATGCTTGCATTAACTGCTGACCATTGACAACCCTTTTCTAATTATTACTAATACATTTCCATTATACATATAATAGCCTTATTCTATCAGTAATGTTAGCATTAATTCCTGACCACTGACAATACCTTTCTTCCTGATTTTCAATGCTTTTTATAATAGAATGATTAGCAACGCATTTCAATTATACCTATAATAGACTTATTCTATCAATAATATTAACATTAATTTCTGACCACTGATAATACTTATTTAATTATTATGATTTCCAATGCCTTTTATAATAGAATGATTAGCAACGCATTTCCTATATACATATAATATACTTATTCTATCAGTAATGTCAGCATTAATTCCTGACCACTGACAATCCCTTTCTTCCTCATTTTCAATGCTTTTTATAATAGAAT